ATTCAGGAGTTGTACTCTTTCCCGGGGCCACTCTTCCCCTTAGAGTTATTGAACCTCGTTTCGTGGCTGCTGTTGAGAAAGCTTTGACTCAAGACAATATTCCTTACACCATTGGTGTGGTAGGTTAACTCCCTATGATGACTGTTTGTGGTTTATTCATGCTTTTGAAATCTGTTTTAATTTTTCTCTAAAACATGAATGTGGCACGAACATGTATCTACCTTTCAGATTCGAATTCACAGGGATACTGCAAATCTTAGGATGAAATCAGCAAGCATTGGGACCACTGCAGAGGTATTACATCTCAACTGATGTACTATTTATAACATTCACGATGAATAATTTATGTTGGTACATATTCCTGCCCACATGTAACCCTTTAAGTATAAAATACAGTTCTATCTGTTTAATATTTATAATGTAATTTATGAATGGCACCTTCCTGGTACCTGAGAGATTTTCCTTAAGAGACATGGTAAAGCTGTTGCAATTTGCAAATCACTTCGCTTCAGAAATTTAATGTTGGCACAGGTACATATCACTCTTCATGTGTGTTTGTGCAAAAACTGTTCTGATGCAACTGGATGTTGGGAGAAGCAGAGCTGAATTAATCACTTACTTACACAACATCCTGTTTATTAATACAAAGCCTAATTTTGCAATGCAGCAGTCATCAATCTCATATCTCTTAAAGGAGAGAAAACTAAAATGAGATCATCTATTGTTACAAGCTATAGTCTTCTTAGTTCTTACTACAGTTAGACTAAGACATCAGTGTCTATATCTGTTGGTTTATATTGCTTGCCAAACACATATCTTCAGATTCGACAATTTGGGCGTCTGGGGGATGGTACACTGAATGTTGTTACCCGTGGACAACAACGATTTCGCCTAAGACGGACCTGGAATGATGTGGAAGGAGTGGTTAGCACAATATTATTATCCTTACTGTCTTTTTATTTTTATCTACTTGGGCATTAGCTATGTAACCAAAGGCTGACAAATATCCCTTGTTTTTTGTTTGGTTGGATTTTAGCCTTATGGAGAGATCCAAATTATTGAGGAAGATCTGCCACTGAGAGCACCAAGGGTTGCTTTTGGAAAATTAGCACCATTGAGTAATAGTCAAGCAGTCTCACATATGGTGTCTCCAAAGTATTCTCACATTAAGATGCAAAGCTCAAAGAATGAGGAAAGTGATTCAGAAGAGAGTTTTGAGAGTGAGCTCTCACTGATGGAAAAGAAAGTCCATCTATCAGTTGTTGGCTCCAGTATTGTGCATGATTCAATGGATGAATCAGAAAATAGCAGTGACTTTAAATTCATGCACAAGCCAGATCAGGAAATTAGATCCTATCTGGATTCAAGAACTGGGGACTGTTCCACTTCTAGAAAACAGTCATCGAAAGAAGAGCTTAATAGATGTAAAAACATGTGTGCCTACCCAGCTCATAAAATTTCAAAAGCATTCTTGCCCCATTGGGCATATCAGATGTTTGACTCTTATTGGCTTGCACAAAGGGCTGCAGGTAACTTTGCTTTGTTTCTTCTGATCTTGATTAGATATTTCTTGCATATTTTTTCCCCTTCATTTTTATGGTATCACTATTGTTGGCTAAATAATTTTTTTTATTATCTTTTCCACATGCTGGTCTGTTAGTATTGATTTTAAAATTTGAACAAGGACCTTCAATGAAAATTCATGAGCAAGTTACGTGTATTTCTAGAATTTTCAGAAATTGTTTTGTAATGTACAATATTATACTCCCTTTGGACTCATATATAAGCAAAACTGTACATAAAATTTTTGGACTTAAATATAAACAACTTCTAACTAACTTGACCCTATTTAATGCTATCATTTAAAAAAATACTCCTTAAATTAATTGTGGTTACTATTTCCAATAAATAATAAGGGCAGTTTAGGAAACAAAATTTAGTTTTTATATGAAATCAATAAAATTAAATGAACTTAACTAACTTCTTTAATATGTGTAAATTTAGGTACTTTTGCTTATGAGTCTAGAGAGAGTATTAATGAATTTTTTTCATTAATTTATTATTATTTTTTATTTGTAATTGAATATAATTTAGATAATACAATTCTATGTTTAATTTTCTTTTTGACGAAAATCTTACCATTGTGTAAACAATTCAAATTAAATAAAAAGATCAGTCTCTGAATTTTAGCTATTTATTGTGAAACAAATGTGTTGCTCTGGAATAAAGACTAATGGTTGTGTTGATATTCTGTAGATATGTGGAACCGAATAGTTGCAGTGCCTAAGATGGATAGTCTCGTTAAGAAGCCTGATGTGTTATCATTTCACATCGCCAGTAAAATACCTGTGTCTGAGTCTACAAGGCAGGAGCTTTTGGATATTGATGGCGTTGTATATAGGCTGCGTAGAGAAATTGAATTACTAGAAAAGATTGAGCTTATCCGGTGTAAGAGCTGCCAGGTAATCATGTCTTACCAAAGCCCCACTGTTTTTCACTTCATATTGTTTGTCATTAAATACAGAGGCAATTTTAGATTTACAATTATGTTTCAACTTCATCAAATGTAGAAAGTAATGATTCTTCCTCTTTTTTTACCATATTAAAATTTGCAGACTATAATTGCAAAACGAAGTGATATGTTGGTGATGTCAAGTGAGGGTCCTCTTAGTGCATATGTGAATTCAGGTGGTTATGTGCATGAGATAATGACTCTTTACAAGGCAAATGGTTTAGCTCTCATTGGGCCAGCAGTAGCAGAATACAGTTGGTTTCCTGGGTAAGTGTTGGTCCATTTCCATATTATGTGATTTTATGAAAATATCAAGTTATTTATTTCACTTCAGAGTTTATATGTATACCGTATGTCAAAGATCAAACTATTGCATGAATCTGTATGATACTTCACGTAATGGTGATCAGTGATGACCCATGTATAAATACATTTATTTCTCACCTAGTGTGCTGTCATTGAAATACGATTTAGCTGGATTTCCTTTGTGGAATTGGATTTGTCCTCTCTTTTTTCAGAAACATTCTCTACCTGTTATCTGGGTTTTGGGAGAAGAAAGGAGCTGAAAGTGCCTTCAGTTTATGCACTCTTTTGGGGCATCCCATTTTGTTACTTGTGCACACGGTTTTTCTAAAGGGAGCTTATGTTAGATTTATGCAGAGAAATTAAAGAGCTCTCGTTCTCTTCAGTTAACTTTTTAACTTATATATATGTTTGCTGCACTTTTGGGAAGATATATATTCTGTATTTTATGAATTTTTTCTTTACTAGAAAAGTTGGTGTTTGGCTGTTTGGTTTAGATAACTGCAAGAGTAATAGAATAATATAAAAAAATTTGTCCGTGTTTATTTTAATGCTCTTCATAATGAACTGAGTATATATGTGAAGGTCGGATATTCAATCAACCTTGTTTCATTATATTGAGGTTTTTCATTTGATTTGTATTTGCTTAACCAGATGCCCTTTTAATTGATATTATTATGTATAAAAATTTTTAGTTTATTATTGATATTTGATATGCTTTTGATTTATCCACTCAAAATTCTCTTATTAATTTTCTAGCTTTTGGTCTAAATGAGTGTCGTGAGTGTAATTTATTGATTGATTGATGAGTAAATGGGCAGAATGAAACGCCGTTCTTTTAGCAAACATTTTCAGCCATAGATAAAGAGTGTCTTTGTGGAATGCTAGCCACGATTCCATTAGGGCGTAGGCTAATATGCAAATTGCAGGAGTGGACAACTCTTCATTAGCCTTTTCTATTCTTGTATTTTCCTTGTGCTCTATGGAAAGTTCTATTATAATTTATAAACCATTCAGAAAAATAGTTTGTAGATGGCCCTTTTACTCCAAGGCTTTCAATCCTTCAAGTGAAGTTTTATTTACTGAGTCAAGTATTGTTTAACGTGTCTGCTATACCCAGCAATAGAAATGGGAAAAAACAGAGACAGAAAAGGATGAGCTAGGGCCGTATAATGTGGACCTACTGTGCAAGTCATGTTTTTCGTGAGATTCTTGCTGTGAATGCTACATAATGTGTCTGATTTGTATTTAGTTGTTTAGTGAGAACTGAGATCTGAGAAGCTTATGTACCAATATGCTACTTTTGGCAGGTATGCGTGGACAATCGCTACTTGTGCAACATGTAAAACCCAAATGGGATGGCTTTTTACAGCCAGGAACAAAAAACTGAAACCCAGCTCTTTCTGGGGGATTCGAAGCTGTCAACTTGCAGCAGAAATACGCGGGAGCCTTTAATTCTACTGATGTAGCCGTGAGTTTGATTTGGTGTGAAAGCCACGTTCAAGTACAAGTAGCACCGCATGGTTATGTATATAATGCGACTTTCTTGTAGCACTGCGCCTGTTGATATTACGTATATTAGTAAATATATGTTTGCCACAGGTTGACAGAGATAAAATCACACATAAAGATAATTTTAGATGCAGAGTTTTTGCGAACTCTTATAGTTGTGGTGTTTTACATGTTAGATGAAGAAGCTGTTTATTTAATTTAAACGAGATAGATGTCTGTTTTGTTAAGAGGTTTTTCGTCCGTTCTGCCCGAGCTGCTAGCTAAAATTGGTTTTGAAAATAATGTAATGTATGAATTAAGTAAATTATTATATACTCATTTTATTTTATTTTGGTTTCAGACCTTCCCTGATGGATTTGACTAGCACGAGGGAAGCCAATAAAGTTTTCCAAATATATTTTCTTATGAGTTTATTTTTAATATACCCTTAACAGAGTTCTTACTTCTTAGAGTAAGAACTCGTTCTTAGTCACGAGAGTTGGATGTTGGATAATATGCACAAATTTTTTTTTCTTCAAATTTTGTTGTCATGATTGTAAAAAATAGTTATGAAGTTAGAGAGAATTAACTTAACAGCCAGATGGAGAAACAGGTTCTTTTTACAAGGGTTCAGCTTTTAAAATTAAAAAAGAAATTATTTGTCTTTGACAGATTTCAGAGAGGGAGAGAGAGAGACTTTTAAGAACTTAGAAATGGGTTTTACCATTTGAGTGAAGTATGATTGAGAGTTTTTATATCTTACTTGACACTAAGATGGGGGAGTTACTATGTCTTATAGCAATATAGAACCTAAAAAACGTAGTCTAAGAATTCAAAATAAGTTCTTAAATGATTTTTTATTGTAACTAAGCAAAAATTACCCTAAGTATGATCTTTAACATGAAGAGTATTAGTATTACATTTTTTAATATTCTGGTTACACTATCTTTTATTGGATAAAACATTTAAAATTATAAAATTATGAGAGAATAATTAAATAAGATGTTTATTAAATTTTAACTAATAAAAAGAATATATTAAAAAGTACAGTATCCTGTTAGCATTTCTTCTTTTTTCATTTATGATCAGATAATTTATCTCTTGTAATAAAACTAATTATGATCTCTTATAATTAAAAAAATTATAATAGGATAATAGTGTAAAAATGATTACACTATCTTAATATTTTAATTAATTTTTTAATTTACAACATTTGGGACCTGAAACTTTGAAATTCAAACTGTTTATTTATTATCGACAGATGTTGGTATATTTCTTATGAATATATTACATTTACTATCGAGAGAGAGAGAGAGAAAGAAGGGCCCCCGGGGGGGGGGGGGGGGGGTGAGAGCGAATCATTGGAAAATCTCCTTTTACATTCTTTTTCCTCGCATTTTACTATGTCGCTGCTACAAAAATCATACTTCGTTCGGCATAAATTGGAATATTAATAATAATAACAACCCTTCTTGATACAAATGAAAATCTTGAAAGAATAAGCAAATTTTCTAAGTTCATATGGCAATGCCTTATACCACAAAGCTAACAAGCAATTAAATAAAGCTGTTCCTAAAAAGAAGCTCATTATGAATATGTATCACTGTAGGGTGTAGACCACACTACTAAAAACACTCAACGGTAGCTTCGGTAACCCGGGCTGTACATGCAACTTTCGGCATATTTAACAAGATCCTTAGGTCGAGGTAAGTGAGAAGCCAGACCTGTTCACCACACAGAGAAAACAGGATTATGAAGGGAAAAAAATTAAACCACATATTTGTGTTGTCACAATTGAACACATTTCATGAAACTCACCTAGATCGTACACCTTAGCCGCTACATTAGCAGCAATGTGGGCTGATATCTTTCTGATGTTGGAGAATGGAGGGTAAATCAGTCCCTTGTCATAGTTCTCCTGTGATACTTGTGCAGCCAAAGCTTCAGCTGTTGCAAAATATGAAATGAAATGGTCAGTCAATCCATTTATGTTACCCTCACATGTCACAAACATGTTTTGTCTTGTTGAGGTTTTATCAAATGAACATGCAATTTTTAATCATTTTTTTCTGCTCTCTTCATAACAAGCACTAATACCAAGTCAAGCAACTTATTCATGCAGTTGTATATTATCATGCTCAAATGATATAATTTCTCTTGTTTGCATGTACTCACAGGCTGCCAAGAGCATGTCATCACGCACACGGATTGCACCAGAGATGATCAAACCCAAACCAAAACCAGGAAATATGTAAGCATTGTTGGCCTGGATTACATAGCAGGAAAACAAAATTAAAAAGTCAGCCACTAACTTTAGCAATGAGTGTCTGTTGAATAAGAAAATGCTTAGCATTGTATTAAACTAAACCTGTCCAGGAACAAAGACTTTTCCTTCATATTCAACAGGATCAAATGGGCTTCCACTAGCAAAGATTGCTTTACCCTGCAAATAGAGACATAATGTCGTAGATAAGAGTTTTGATTTTTCTTTCTTTGAAATTTAACTCCAATATGATGTTTCTTGGTCTAAGCAAATATTTAATAACGAAAATTTTACCTTGCTCCATGTATAAGCTTCTTCAGCTGTGCACTCAGATTGTGAAGTTGGGTTGGAGAGAGCAAGAATGAGTGGTTTCTGCATGCCAAGGAATATCACAAACATTAGAGATAGAATTTTCTCATCAGGTAGTAAAAAAATATTACTAGAGAAAGCAAGAAAGAACCTTATTCAAGGATGCCATGGCTTCAACCACCTCCCTGGTAAATGTCTTCCCTACTCCAGATGATCCAATCAAAACGGTTGGCTTGATCGCCTGATGAAGTGAATTGTAAGATATTGTGTTAAGAATCAATGCTGATAAATATTAAATATTTTATGAAATCAAGACAAGATCTGAGACACTTTTATTTACCTTGACTGCATCTAGAAGCCCCTTTACAGGTTCATGCTCATGGGCCCAAGGCTTTTTGAAGTGCTGAAGTGATTCCAGACGAGACCTAACAATAAGTCCCTGGAACAGATCAAACATGTTAGGGAAGAGAAGAATATGTAGAAGGCAAAGAAGATTACTCTCTTCCTGTTTTCTAATCATTTTACCTTTGAGTCCACAAGCCAGATCTTCTTGCGTGTCTCTTGCACTGGAGCTTTTGTCTGGCCAACAACAAGATAGTGTTTAGATACATCATAAAATGAATACTCTTATTAAAAAAAATACAAATATCAAGTTATACCTGCTTTGAAATCTCAAGAGCTATCAGCTCTGCTATACCAGTTCCAGCCTTCAAGAATCAAAAGATAAAAGTAAGAGAAGTCCTCCCAAAGAAAAAACAGACAGAATTTCATTTCATATCATCATATGTATATTCATGCATTCTCATAAATCATACAAGCCTCCAAGTTGGGGTGGCAATAAACCAATCAAATTGGAAAATAATTCAAAACTCAATTTGATAATTAGCTGGATGAATTTGATTTATAAATCAAATGAACTAAAAGTTGAGCTCAATAAATAAATAAACCAAATTTAAATTGTGTATAGTTCAACTCAGTTCATGAATTAGATTGATATATATATATATATATATATATATATATATATAAGATTAAAAAAAATTGACTTTTGATTCATGTAATTCAAGTTAACGAATTGAACCAAACTATTCACAAACTTGAACCGAGTTGAATTCAAGTTGAGAAAAGAAGAGGTTAATGTTTATCTCGAGTCAAGCTTCGAGCTAAATTGAATCTTATTGAATTGAGTTGAGTTGAACTCCCAGCTCGACTCATTTCCAGTCCTACCACCAAGGAAGTTACCAAACGAAAAGAATAAAGTAAGTGACTCTTACCTCTCCAGCACCCAGGAATAAGAAGGTGTGGTCAGCTAAGGTTCCCCCAACTAATTTCAGGGATGCAAGCAATCCTGCTAATACCACAGATGCTGTACCCTGCATTAAACCAAAGGTTAGAATCAGTAACCTGAGTCAAAATAAGAAACTCTGTACAAGTCAAAGTTTTCAAGCATGCTACCTGTATATCATCGTTAAAAACAAGATGAGATGAGCTGTATTTTTCCAGCAGATCAAATGCATTATGATTGGCGAAATCTTCAAACTGAAAAAAAAAATCATGAAAATTAGGAAAATAATAAATTCCAAGCAAACCAAAGTCAATGCAGATGTTGAATCTGATATGTAACCTGTATGAGAACTTTCTCCCCATAGTTCTGCTTAACTGCACGCATAAACTCCTCCAGAAGTTCCTCATATTCCTAAACGACAATTAACAAGTATCAGTTAACAGAATATAAAACTTCCCCCACTCAATAATATAGTTAAAAAAATGTATATCATTTGCATGTCTGAGTGTCAAGGATGATGATCATACCTTCCCAGTTGCTCGCTTTTGTTTAAGCCCGATGTAGAACTCATCATTCAGCAACTTCTCATTGTTTGTGCCAACATCAATGGTTATAGGCAAGCACTGATATCAAAGAAGATCAAGATAACAATTTATTATTTGATAAATTATGAGGAAGGGAAAAGGGAAAAAATAAAATAGTACTGAGTGGTCCTTACTGATGAAGGGCGAACACCTCCTAATGCAGTATAGAGAGAAAGTTTCCCAACTGGAATCCCCATTCCCTAACAAAATTTTAGAAAAATTTGTTACTAAAATTCTGTGTGTGTAATGCCGTTTTAACTTTAAGAGACTATAACATTATATTTACCTGGCAACCAAGATCTCCAAGTCCTAAGATACGCTCACCATCGGTCACAACAATAACTTGAATACTCTTTTCTGGCCAGTTTTTCAGGACTTCAAGGATCTTGCCTCTGAAGAATTCAAACACTTAGTATTTTCTCAATACCAAGTGAAAAAACCAAAAAGATCAATGTTATGAAAAAAAAACTTACTTCTCCTTCAAACTGATATATAGACCCTGAGGACGTCTAAAAATGCTTCCATATTTCTGGCATGCTTCTCCAACTGTAGGAGTGTAAACAACAGGAAGCAGTTCCTCAACATTATCGATCAGAACCTTGTAAAACAGCCTTTCATTCCTCTCCTGTAAATAGAGAAATGTCAAAGACAGTGAGAAATTTCGTAGCAATAGTTCTTGGTTATATGTTAATGTTCCTTAAACCAGCATGTTTTAAACACATACATGAATTATGCACTTAAGATGGGAAAAATTGTAATTCAGAAAGTACCTGAAGATCCATCAAGGCCATGTACCTATGCAGAGGAACCTCATACTGGCGAAGATTGTGCATCAACCTCTTTTCCTGAACACCAGGATAACAAGGGCATTTAGCCAAAAATCCCCGGATTGTACTGATTCTAACATA